TAGTGGAACCAATTGCCTTCAGAAGTCACCTAATTAGTAAATAGAGTCCACCTGTGTGTAATTTAATCTCAGTATAAATACAGCTGTTCTGTGAAGCCCTCAGAAGTTTGTTAGAGAACATTAGTGAACAAACAGCATCATGAAGGCCAAGGAACACAACAGGTCAGGGATAAAGTTGTGGAGAAGTTTAAAGCTGGGTTAGGTTATAAAAAAAAATATCTCAAGCTTTGAACATCTCACGGAGCACTTTTCAATCCATCATTCGAAAATGGAAAGAATATGGCACAACTGCAAACCTACCAAGACATGGCCGTCCACCTAAACTGACATGCCGGGCAAGGACAGCATTAATCAGAGAAGCAGCCAAGAGAGATCCACAGCTCAGATGGGGAAATCTGTCCACAGGACAACTATTAGTTGTGCACTCCACAAGTCTGGCCTTTATGGAAGAGTGGCAAGTAGAAAGCCATTGTTGAAATAAAGCCATAAGAAGTCCAGTTTGCAGTTTACGAGAAGCCATGCGGGGACACAGCAAACATGTGGAAGAAGGCGCTCTGGTCAGATGAGACCAAAATTTTACTTTTTGGCCTAAAAGCATAACACTATACTGCACATCACCCTGAACACACCATCCCCACCGTGAAACATGGTGGTGGCAGCATCATGTTGTGGGGGTGCTTTTATTCAGCAGGGATAGGGAAGCTGGTCAGAGTTGATTGGAAGATGTATGGAGCCAAATACAGGGCAATCTTAGAAGAAAACCTGTTCTGTAAGTTAGGGACCTTAGATTGTACGCCCCTGGTCTGCAAAAGCCTTGAGACTAGGGCACAGGTTCACCTTCCAGCAGGACAACAATCCTAATATGATCATATCTATTTGAACTCTTTTGCATTTCCAGAGTATTCCCTTCAACGCATATTTAGTTATTTGACACCCTCTGGAGTTATTCATATCTATGTTCATATCAATGATTCCTTGTACTGATTTATTTATGATATACCTTTTAGCGCTGCACTATTACTTTATCTGGGGGAACATTACTTATCCCATCACCACCATCAATGGGGCACTATTCCTCCCACTGAAACCAATGATGGGCACTGTTCCTACCAATGGCACCAACAATGGGTCACTAATCCTTGAACTGACATCAGCAATGGGGCACTGTTCCTCCCATTGACATAAACAATGGGGTATTATGTCTCCCACTGATGAGGCACTGTTCCTCCCGATAACACCAACAATTGGGTATTGGAACTATTCCTCTCCCTTATATCCAATAAAGGGTGAACTGTTCCTATAATCACTCATGGGGCACCATTCCTACTCTCACTGACCATCAACACTAGGGAATTTTTCCCTACCACTGACATTTGGAATTCTTTCCTTCTACGGACCACCGATGTTAGGGTAGTTTTCACTTTCACTGACACTGGGCATTTTTTACTATGGCAGACCACTGACCAGAGTCTTGCCCATAAACAGTCTAAATGACCCGGAGCTGGTCCTTTATTCAAAAAGTTTAATGACTCCAAAAGTCAGAACTGTCAACTTTTTATTGATGACTATGTATTAAAGCGGAACTTCAGTTCTGCTCTGTACAGACCTTGCTCTCCCTCTTTGGTGCCACCATTATTGAGCTTAATCCATGCAGGTGAAAGATACGGAAGGCTTTGGACTTCCCTGGAAGCAGACTTTTGCATGTGTGTAGGAAACCCTGTACATATGCAGACCGCCAGGGAATTAGAGGCATGTGCAGATGCACCGCAGGGCTTTCTTAGAATCCACACCCTATGGCACATCTGCGCCCGTGCAGGGGGTGGGGAGAATGTCTCTACCTGCTTTTTTAAATTAATGTGCCTTTTTTATATAATTTTCCCCGTGAAACAACCTGTCATTGGGGTAGGGCATGCCCATAAATCTCCTCAATGGGGACACAGGTGGCAATGAAAAACAGTAGGCATTTCTAACTGTTCCCCTCTCTGTATAGAATTAAAATAAATGTTTTAGTTGGAGTTCTGACTAGCATTCCTTTGAAACACAAGGCACTCTTTGAGCTTAACTTATTAATTGATCACAATCATAAGGATAATTATACATTCTGATATCTTCAGTTGTTAAACACAAGAAAATACCTGAAAGCAGCAAGATATTCAGCATCCCCAACAGGGGGTTCCACACCTCCTGTCCATGCAATGTTCACATTGTATCCCGCGCCACAACCGGTGCCAACCTGTGAAAGAAACACTAGGTATTTGAACTGTGTAACAAATACCATTTTTTACTTATTCATCCCTAAAATACATATCTAATAAAGTGCATTCAGAACTTAGCTTCTGAGGAACTGCCATCTTTACTGGACAAAAGGAAAGGGATATACAGTTGTGTTCAAAATAATAGCAGGGTGTTGAAAAAAGTGAATAAAGCTCAAAATCCTTCTAATAGCTTTTATTTCCATACACACAAATGCATTGGGAACACTACACATTCTATTCCAAATCAAAACATGAAGAAAAATATATAAAATTTGTATTGTTCCTCTAAAAAATTGAAGAAAAGTGAATACTAGACGGTTCAAAAAAATAGCAGTGTTTGTATTCTTCTTTATAAACTCAAACATTCACTATATAAACTGAAAAATGTTTGAAGATTTTGCTTTCCTTTGAATCACTTAATGAATATTTGGTTGTAGTCGCACTGTTTCTGAGAACTGCTGTACATCTGTGTTGCATGGAGTCAACCAACTTCTGGCACCTGTGAACAGGTATTCCAGCCCAGGATGATTGGACTACATTCCACAGTTCTTCTCTATTTCTTGGTTTTGCCTCAGAAACTGCATTTTTGATGTCACCCCACAAGTTTTCTATTGGATTAAGATCCGGGGATTGGGCTGGCCACTCCATAACGTCAATCTTGTTTGTCTGGAACCAAGATGTTGCATGTTTACTGGTGTGTTTGGGGTCGTTGTCTTGTTGGAACACCCATTTCAAGGGCATTTCCTCTTCAGCATAAGGCAGCATGACCTCTTCAAGTATTCTGATGTATTCAAACTGATCCATGATCCCTGGTATGCGATAAATAGGCCCAACACCGTAGTATGAGAAATATCCCCATATCATGATGCTTGTGCAACCATGCTTCACTGTCTTCACAGTGTACTGTGGCTTGAATTCAGTGTTTGGGGGTCGTCTGACAAACTGTCTCCAGCCACTGGACCCAAAAAAGAACAATCTTACTTTCATCAGTCCACAAAATGTTGCGCCATTTCTCTTTAGGCCAGTCCATGTGCTATTTGGCAAATTGTAACCTCTTCACCACGTCTTTTTTTCAACAGTGGGACTTTGCGGGGGCTTCTTGCAGATAGCTTGGCTTCACATAGGCGTCTTCTAATTGTAACAGTACTCACAGGTAACTTTAGACCTTCTTTGATCTTCCTGGAGCTGATTGTTGGCTGAATCCTTGCCATTTTGGCTATTCTTCTATCCATTCAAATAGTAGTTTTTCGCTTTCTTCCACGTCTTTCAGGTTTTGGTTGCCATTTTAAAGCATTTGTGATAATTTTAGCTGAGCAGCCTATCATTTTCTGCACTTCTTTATATGTTTTCCCCTCTCCAATCAACTTTTTAATCAAGGTACGCTGTTCTTCTGAACAATGTCTGGAACGACCCATTTTCCTCAAAATTTCAGAGAGAAATGCACTGTAACCAGCATGTACAACATTTGTTGCCTTCCTTCCTTAAATAAGGGCAATAATTGCCACCTGTTTTTCAAATAATGAATGACCTCACTAAGTCATACTATATCACACCTACTTGAGCTTTGTGGACATAACATTCCAAAACCATGGGCATTAATATGGAGTTGCCCCCTCCTTTCCTACTTTGAGGCTCCACGCCTCCATACATATTTTTGAAGTGTGTGTGCGAATTCAGCCAAAAGAGAGCATTTGTGAGGTCAGGTCCTGGCGTTCCAATTAATCCCAAAAGCTTTTTATTAGGGTTGAGGTCAAGACTTGTATTCCTCCAGACCAAACATGTTTTGATAGAGTTGGCTTTGTTTATAAGGGCACAGTCATGTTGGAGCAGAAAAAGACCTTCCCCAACATAAGGTTCAAAGAGCACAATTGTCGAAAATGTTTTTGTATGTTGTAATATTAACAGTTACCTAAACTAAAAAAACACCTTAACTCAATAATTTGTATAGTTGCCTACATATTTTTGTCCATCTAGAGCTGTAGTGGTCAACTTTCTTGATGTAGGGGGCCTTAAGTGGTGACCCTGACATCACTAGAGGGCTGCACATAATATCTAGTATTTGCAATACTACAGAAATGCAGACATGCTATAGGAGGCGGTCAAAGACTGTGAACAAGAGCTGTTGAAATCTGAAGACATGATTCAGGAGACATAGTATGAAGACCTATTACATGAGATTGCTAGAGATTACTGCTTTTACAGCACCTTTACAAATCAATGCTCCCACATTTGTGCCTTCTACAGTCCCCTTAGAAATGACTTGTGCCACAGCAAAATATATTGTAAAAGATCGGAGGAAAAGAAATCCCAAAGATGAAAAAGGCAGAAAGCACAGAAAAAAGAAAGTGTAAAAGAGTAAATCAACACAGACTGTCTACAGCAGGGGTTTCCAAACTATGGCCCTCCGGGTGTTGCGGAACTTCAGGTCCCATGAGGCCTTGCAAGACTCTGACATCCACAGGCAAGAATCCCAGAGTCAGAGGCATGAAGGAACTTGTAGTACTTCAACAGCTGGAGGGCCATAGTGTGGACACCCCTGGTCTACAGGGACTCTGAAGGCTGTACAATAAGTGCCAAAGGGCCACATGCCTTAGATTGGGCACTAGGAATCTAGAATAATTAGAGTATTAATAAAAGCTGCTCATCCAGAAATCAAAAGGGCACCCAAAAGCTTTAACTCACCTCCTCAGGAGAGCCACTACCGGGAAAAAAGTTGCCATCATCATAACGATGGAGAGACATGTAAAGGACATTGGGGTCACTGTAGAAGGCTTGTTGTGTTCCATTACCATGGTGAATATCCTGCAAGGAAAATACAGTTTGCTTAAAGTGCAATGGTCTAATGGCAAAGTTATTGGACTGTCTTATCTAAGCTACAATGAAGTCCACTGACCGTACTTCTACTAACTCACCCAATCCACTATCAGGATTCGGCCCACATTCATCTTCTGGCGGAGCAATTTGGCAGCGATAGCTACAGAGTTAAAAAAACAGAAACCCCTAAAGGAAGAGGAGAGGGGATAGAGGGTCAGTGATGGTGAGTGTGGTCCGGGACAAAGGGAAGAGGGATCCAGAGGCGGAGGAGGGATGACAGCGGAAGACGATGAGATACAAAAGAAGACATACACAACGGGACAATTGAAGGTAACAAGAATGAGATGAGACTGCCTTTTCAGGAAGAAAAGCAGGAATGGAAGAGGAGTGAACCCCCCATTACTGAGGAGGGGTCCCTAAAATGGGACCCCTCCACCCTATACTCACATGGCAACCGATTCCTCAGCATGGTGTCCTGGGGGACGGATAACTGCAAATCCATTCTGCAGGAAGTGAAATTACAAACATTGGAAATCACACCATGACACTTTCCAGAATAAAAGATGCAAAAGTATAGAAATAATTCCTGCTAAAGGAACATTATTGACAATCTATTAAACACATATACTGTACATGTAATAAAAACCGCTTGCTCTGGTCAGAATAACCTGACTTTAAGAGTGCTGTAAAACAGAATCTGCCCACCTTGCTATTTAATTATTTAGATGAAAGTGTATGTAAAATCCAAGCTTTTTTTGTTTTGTAGTCAATGGTTAAGACCCATTCAGGTATTTTGCTGTATGTGTTCCATCAGGAAGATTTCCTTTTACTTCCTGTCATGGAGACACAACAGAAAATCCTTAGTTGCTACCAGAATGAAGATTTCCCTTCACCTCTTGTTCCTGTGACGACTAAAATTTTGGACTTTCCATCACTTTTTATATCAAAGACAGGGCAAGGTCAATGAGGGAAATCAGCCTATAAATTGCTAGGGATGGAGGCTCTCTGAATTGCTCATTTTTATAATAATAATGTTTGGTTAAGGATATTTACTCACTTTCAGCTCTCCAGATGCCACTTTGAATGCAAGCTCAAGTAGGGAACCAACAGCTGTTCGGACAGCAGCTGGGGAGTGTAGCTCATTCCATACAGTGTCACTGTCCACCTGCCACCCAAAAGACGTTCAATACATTTTAAAAGGCAAGTAAACCCACAGTAAAAAACGTTAAAAAAGGTTTCATATTACTGATTTAAGGGGTATTTCTAGAAAGGGAAGAGGGAGGGTATATGCCTCCCCTTGTAAACAACATCAGGACCCCAGAGCTCACCAAATAGGCTGTTAGAGACTGCTAAAGAATTACAATAGACTGTAAGAGACTGCTATCACATTACAATATACAGTTAGATATTACCATTATATTACAATAGACTATTAGATAACTTTCACCTCTTTGCAGAGAAGTTACTGCATGTACTATTACAGCCATAAATACTCATGCAACCTCTTACCAAATCTTGGATCTGACTATGATATCACAGGTCACATGACTGAGTCAATTGTGTTTTCCTCCACAAAGACTAGTCACAAAAATGCTTTTTTGGGCCACCAGTAAAAATAAATAAAAGGACCAGAACTTGGTCCTCAGCATTGTTATACCTCAAAATGCGCGGTGCCCTCAAGAATTTTCCTTGTCCTACCTGAAGCATTCATCTTGTTTCAAAGTATTATAAGAAAATTATTCCAGAGGATAGTCTACCAGAAATTTGCCTAAAGGGCGAGTCGACCCAAACCTCAAATTTAGTGGTTGGTTGACGCTAGAGTGTAAAGCCATCTAATGGTTTCTGATATGTCTTGAAGAAACTATTGGTGAGATCTTTGCACATGAGTTCCTAGAACTTACCCCAATCCCCCCACAGGGTAGAACTGCATACATCTTCTGAGAAAGAGGTCCTAAAAGACAAGTGGTAAAATGATGGAAAAAAAAAGTTTTAATATATTTTGTGTTCTACATTATGATAAACTATAACGAAGGTTATATGCAAAAGTATAGGTACATTTTTAGAAATTCTGATGTAAACAACATAACTTTTCTGCTCTGTAGCTTACTCCATAGGCAGCCATTTGTCCCTTCTCTTTATTAATCAATTGCTACTAGTGGTTAATTTACATCAAGTTTAGAAAAACAACTGCGCTACAAAAAAAAATCGCCTGCATAGTTCTAGCCCAATGAGGTGAATGCCAGCAAGTGGTTAAATGCAGTGGTCATAGCGAGAGATTAAAATAGGCCATGTAGTTTAGCCCTTAGGCTAGAATTCAATTATACCTCCTAATGATCACTTTTACACAGTTTTTTCTATGACCACAATAGTTAAGTGGACCCGAGCTCAAAAAGTCAAGATTTGTTATAGGGAACATCTAGAAATGTTAGCTGTGCCTAAGCAGTAACCTAAAAAATGTACCTTTTTTCTTGCATTCCTCCTAAAAAAGAGAAGTGCACTTCTCTTTTTCAGGAGGAATGCAAATGCAAATGATAAATCCTGTATAATAACAATCCTGTATAATGACTTCCTGATGTAACTGTGCCAAGGCACCCCTGTGTGCCTTGAGCACCATAGCTGTGTATATGCAGATCCTGATATGTTTCACCAGATATGGAGTGAGATTTGGTAAAGTCATTACTGTGCTGCTCAATGTTTTCCTTGCTGGAGAGAGAGCTGTACCTGGAAACCTGCAGTGCAAGAATCTCCCTGCTTCTTCCTTGGAATTATTTTGTGAATCTGTGCTTTCTACATCTCTCCTGCTGCTTCTTTATCATAACCGCACCAGTCATCAGATCCTCAATCATGAGGGGCAGCTCAGATATAAGGAAGCAAAGCTCAGGTCCTCCAGCAAGATGGCCACCTTCACACAGAGATGCCATGCAGAAAAAGGCATGGCACATGAGTAATAGGGAAAAGATTAGATGCAGGGAACCTACAAGGAAAACTGGTGACCTGTGCTTTGTCATCTGTCTTTTTGAGCACAGCTTCTAAAGAATATTTAAACTTGTTAGCTTTGGTGCAGTAAAATTCATACATGTTTAACTGAATGACAACCCTATTGATTATTATTATATGGCTAGTTCATATCTATGTGCTGCACCTTAGTACATGCTTTTGTTTGGACATTTCTGAGCATTAATGTAGCTCAATGGAAACCTGTTATGAGAAAAATGTAGGCAACCTTTGGTGACCTCTCTTCTTGAAGAAGCTAGGCTGAGGCTGCACAATTATCATTAACTGCGTAAAATAGGAAGATATGCAGTAAATATTGAAATACTTTTTTTATGCCTCCATGCATGAATCAAGTATGATAAAATGTAATTCCAGCCAAAACATTTTTGTAAATTTTGGACAAAAAAGGTAAAATTTATTTCAGTTTTTTTTTTATTGCAGACTGTTTCCTTCTATGGGGCATTTATCCTCATTTCATCTGCTACCGGTTGTAGCCATTGATACAAGAAGTGATGTGGATCTTATGATTGGGGCACAGACAACAACATCTTGGCAAAGGTTCTTCTAACCTTTCCCCGCTATACGACAAAAGTGTTTTTCTTTCTGTGCTTCTGTTGGATAGATCCCTCCATTTTTTGTTTTAGTGACCACCATCATTGAATTAGGAGATGAAGGCTAACCCCATCCAACACTCAACAAAAATGTCTAGGCTGCAATTATACAATATGATATATACAGTCAATTTCTGGTATATTCCCTACCCCATTCTTCATTTATTGCCCCAGAGTTATCACGAGTCTGTACAGTCAGCTCCTCACCCAGCAGGTTCTTGCTTTCCAGCTTGTGACGGCTCTGCGGGCTGGTCCCATATAATAGGGTGTGATGCTCAGCATGAACTGTCTGAATTTCATCAAGCGTGGCTTTCCTTCCTCGTACGCGCTATGGCAAGAAACTTATGTCACTCTTAGTGAACACCACCTGAAAAACTTTACTTATAATTCTTCCCCATAACCTAGAATGGTTGTATACTACCCAATTTTAGAAAAAAACATGATTCATTTAAACTCAAAATAAAGGGGCATGTAAGAGTCTGTGGTCAGGGTTGTAAAGATTTCTCACATGTTCTGATCAATTCAAAGCCTGCCCTCCCTAAATATGATATACCATTGGGTGGGCAATTTGCTTTGAATTACCCACCATCTTCTTCTTGAATTGCTAAGGTGAGACACTGTCTTGGATTACCCACCATCTTCTTTTTGAGTTGATAAGGTGAGATTTCCCCACTGAAGTTTGTGTTTGAGCTACATCCCACATGGCTACAATCAAGGTGTCATTGTCATACAGTTGGGTTCTTAAGTTATTTGATTCTGCATTGAGAATCCACCTGGGAGACCTCATTTATCTTTGTACTGGAATTAGTGTATGGTCAAAACCAGGGGTTTTGGTGGGGATATCACCACTGGTGTCCCTGAAAAATAGAAGTATCCAGCAGGTATTTCATGTAGTTGCACACACAAGCATATCTGTTTTTGGGAATTATTTAGGGAGTATTCTTTAACACATAAGAAAGGGTTTTTTTTTCTCTGTGACCATGTATCAAAATAAAATCAGATGAACCCATGGAAAGTTGTGGCTGTAGTAAGTAAATTGCAGTTATAACAAAAATCATCAATTATCTCATCATTTATCAAAAGCATTTAGAAATCTGTTTATTTATGGCAAACCTTGGGTTCCTATAGGCATTAGATGATGGTCATCTGATCCTACTGACACATCGTCTGGAGACAATTTGGATGTCTATGTGTTTGGTAGCCACCGCTGGCAGAAGTTTATTGAGGGAAAAGTGAGTTAGTCAGGCTGTTATGTCAATGACCTATTTTCCCCACAACGATGTCAAGATAGTTTTCTGAAGAAGAAAGCCAACATTTTGCTACTTTGCCAATCTTTGGCTAGTCTATAAGATCATATAGAACGGTCTTTCTAAATCTTTTTATTCCAGAGCAACCAGTTCATTGGTGGTCAGTGGGACAAATGCCCTTTACATTGGTGACCAGTATGAAGAATGTCCCCCTTACAGGGGTGGTTAGAATACCACCCTTACAGACAGCTAAAAAGATCATTCCTGCAGCCGGCTGTGCCAGGTGACATTGACCCCAGAACTATGCAGGTACCATCAAATGAGAGGTCAATCAGCTACAGCTCAAGGAACCCCTGGCAACCTCTGAAGGAATCCTAGGGTTCAGCGTAACCCGGGTTGAGAATGATTGGTACAGACACAAAAATAATACATTATGTCTGATCAGAGTATGCTCTTTATGTCTATGGCTAGCAAATCATTTTCAGGATGAACGTTCATTGGCTTTTTTTTTTTTTTTTGGTCTATCACAACTCTTTACCCAAGAGGTAACACCAGTGCATGAACTTGTATTCTTGGGGAAAGCATGTTTATACGCCACTTTTCCGATCACACTTGCATATCCAACCCTCATAGAGAAAGTGTGAGTTTATTTATAGCTTATATACTTTAAATGCTGCTTTCACTGTCATCTAGATATGCCCCTTTATTTGAGTGCCTTCGTATTTTGGCATCGTTCTTTTCTAAGAGACATTCCATTATTCTTTGGCACTGATAAATTCTACCCAAACAAAATAATACTTAGAGTCAAAAACAGCAAAGGCTCACCTGGCACTTGCCGAGGAGACCAGTTTCTTGCAGTCGGGACCAGATACTCTGTATTCTCCCAGCATGCTCTGGGTGGTTATTGGTGTCCCCACAGGTACACTGGTGCTTCAGCATCAGAGTGTCATAGACTAAGCCTGGGGGAGGGATAAAATGACAACTATATCTTATTTAGAATTGAATGGCAGTGCTTTTCAATGATAATCAGATCTCTAATCACTAGGAACTTGACTTGACATAATGGAGAATTCTCAACTACGTAAGCTGGCACCATGTTTTATAATCTCTGAGATACCCTGCCCTACACAGTTGATGTTCTTGTTTACATACACCATTACTGGGCACTATATCAGCTGTAAAAGTGATCTTATGAAGGCTTGATCAGAAGTTTTTGTTAATGGACTGTCTTAGTGTGTATGTTCAAGGGGGCAAATGTTGAGATATGAACTCTGACCTGTAGTGCTCAGGACACGGCGTCGCGACTCTGAACTGCAGGAGGTGAGTGGAGCTGCCGGGGAGGACTGGGTCCGACTTAGGGCCGAATGAGGAAGAGAGCCTTGATAGAGAGGGAGGGCATCTGGGAACAGCTAAAGAAGCAGGGAGAAGACATTAGACTAATTCCTCTCATGTGCAATCCTACCTATATACCTTTTTTGCATAAACATTTTTAGGAGAACCTTTTAAGCACCTATATATTCTGAAAACCAATCCAACAGACAGGTGACCTTAGATGCCCCACTCAAACATTCTTTATAACATTCCTATTGGTGCCAACTACCAGTCAAACTCCATTTAAAACATAACTCCTCATAGTAGGGAAGTCTCCCGGCCTAGACAAGGCAGCAAGGAGAGCAGAATCAGATATACAGTGAGGAACAAAAGTATTTGAACACCCTGCGATTTTGCAAGTTCTCCCACTTAGAAATCATGGAGGGGTCTGAAATTTACATTGTAGGTGCATTCCCACTCTGAGAGACAGAATTTGAAAACAAAATTCAGGAAATCACATTGTATGATTTTTAAAGAATTTATTTGTCTTGCACTGCTGAACATAAGTATTTGAACAACACCTAAGAAATATCAAGAACTCTTGCTCTCAAAGACCTATTAGTGTGCCTTTAAAAAGTCCACCTCTATTCCACTCATTAATCTAACTTAGTAGCACCTGTCTGAGCTCTTTAAAGACACCTGTCCACCCTACAGTCAGTCAGACGCCAACTACTGCCATGGGCAAGACCAAAGAGCTGTCAAAAGACACCAGAGACAAAATTGTGGACCTCCACAAGGCTGGAAAGGGCTACGGGGCAATTGCCAAGCAGCTTGGTGAAAATAGATCAACTGTTGGAGCAATTGTTAGAAAATGGAAGAGGTTAAAGATGACTGTCAGTCTCCCTCGGACTGGGGCTCCATGCAAGATCTCACCTCATGGGGTATCACTGATGATAAGAAAGGTGAGGAATCAGCCCAGAACTACAAGGGAGGAGCTGGTCAATGACATGAAGAGAGCTGGGACCACAGTTTCAAGGGTCACTGTCGGTAGAACACTACGCCGTCATGGTTTCAAATCATGCATTGCACGGAAGGTTCCCGTGTTTGGAGGAAAAAGAAGGATGAGTTGCATCCCAAGAACACCATCCCTACTGTGAAGCATGGGGGTGGTAACATCATGCTTTGGGGGTGCTTTTCTGCAAAGGGGACAGGACGACTGCACTGTATTAAGGAGAGGATGAATGGGGCCATTTATTGTGAGATTTTGAGCAACAACCTCCTTCCCTCAGTCAGAGCATTGAAGATGGGTCGTGGCTGGGTCTTCCAACATGACAACGACCCGAAGCACACAGCCAGGATAATCAAGGAGTGGCTCCGTAAGAAGCATATCAAGGTTCTGGAGTGGCCTAGCCAGTCTCCAGACCTAAATCCAACAGAACATCTTTGGAGGGAGCTGAAACTCCGTGTTGCTCAGCGACAGCCCCGAAACCTGACAGATCTAGAGGAGATCTGTGTGGAGGAGTGGGCCAAAATCCCTGTTGCAGTGCAAACCTGGTCAAGAACTACAGGAAACGGTTGACCTCTGTAATTGCAAACAAAGGCTTCTGCACCAAATATTAACACTGATTTTCTCAGGTGTTCAAATACTTATGTTCAGCAGTGCAAGACAAATAAATTCTTTAAAAATCGTACAATGTGATTTTCTGAATTTTTTTTTTAATTCTGTCTCTCAGAGTGGGAATGCACCTACAATGTGAATTTCAGACCCCTCCATGATTTCTAAGTGGGAGAACTTGCAAAATCGCAGGGTGTTCAAATACTTCTGTTCCTCACTGTATCTCAAAATCAAGCTCTCTAGTTATTTTGTCTTGACAATTTAGAAAAATCCTTTTTTCAAAATGTTTTAAATGTTTGGTACTATGGAACTTTTTATTGGATTTTTCATTTTTCAAACACTTGTCCTTTATAATAGATGAAAACACTGATTGGATGACATTTAGTTTGCCAAAACACCATGTCTCATAAATGTAAATTTATTTACAGTAACGGACAAATAGAAGTCTCAATGACGTCAGCTCCAATTTGTGCTGTTTTTTCTGTTTCTCAGGTTTGTCAAGTGGCGGTGTTTAATATATTCATACTGTGTATCATAGCCATTTGTTTTTCTCTCTTTCAGAAAATACTATTTTCACCTTTTTTGCATCTCTATGCTGCTGATCCCATACAGCCTCATTGTATCCACTTCCTGTCTGCATGCATGGGTCCAACCAGGGGCGGACTGACAACTCATGGGGCCCCCGGGCAATAGGGGATAATGGGGCCACTGTGTCCTCGCCCACACCCAAAAAAGCCTGTGAAAAATCCAATGAAAGGTACCAGGGGCATCTCATGGGGTCCCCTACTGACCCCGGGCCCTCGCCAGTGACCGAGGGCTCGAATGGTCAGTCCGCCCCTGGGTCCAACAGCAGTTGCATGTCTTGCTCAGGGCAGACTTACTGATGGTTATAATGGTGGGATATGCCTGCACGGTGATCGGATAAGCAAGGTCGCTTACTTTCTCAACTTTGTTTTTCCTTAGTGGAACCCTTGAAATAGTTTCCAGATCTCAAGAAACCACTGCTAAAACCAATCTACTGGGGGTCAATGAGAACAATGCCCCATACATTCGTGACCAGTTGGAAAAATGCCACACTTACAGAAGTGGTCTGAATGCCACCCTTATAGACAGCTAAAAAGTTCTCTGGTGTCACTATGCCAAATGGCCTTAGCTCTGGAACCATACAAGCAACAGTTCAAGGAACCCCTGGAAACCTCTAGAGCAGGGGTAGGCAACCTGCGACTCGCTAGCTGTTGTGGAACTACATTTCCCATGAGGCATTGCAACATTACAAAACTGACAGTTAGAGCTATGACTTGCAGAGGCATGATGGAACTTGTAGTCTTGCAACAGCTGGAGATCCGCAGCTTGCCTACCCCTGCTCTAGAGGAACCCTGGTGGTCTCCAGAGAAATATGTGACAGGGCAAAAAGGCAGGAGAGCAATTGGAAGACAAGGACAGAGCACTATCACCCTGGAAGATAATTGTGGCTGTGAGCAAGCACATTGAATTATCTTCTATACCACCCCAGTAGCAGTTTACTTAGGCAGGCCATACATTAGGCAATTCCCTCATCGAAACAGACAGTGATGATGGGGGGGGGATCCCTCCCGCAGCAGTATTGTGTTCTGCCAGCAGAGGGCCTTCCCTGACGTCACGATACAATGATTACTGCCGGCGGCTATTGCCGTCGGCAATAATCACACCCCAAAAAACTCCAACAGGGCTGGTTGTAAAACCTGCCTGCCCATAGATGGATCGAAATTTGGACAGGCCCTGCTGAACCGGCTGAGATTCGATCCATTTATGGCTGGCTTAAGCTTGGACTGGCTGCAGGTACACTTAAAGTATCATTCATGGGAATGTGAGATGATAGAAAGTATAGAAGCTCAGTACCTATAAATGGACAAGTTAAAGGCAAGATCCATCAGAAACAAATATTCCAATAGCGGCTACATTTTTAAAAAAATAATTTCATTAAATTGAATTTTAAAATCTTGGTAACAATACAAGTCTGAGCTAATCATCCAACAATAATGAGCACATATACTTCAAGCATTCTAGCCACACTCGTCCCATCGCCTCTCCTCCCCACCTCCTACTGAAACCACAAAGGAAGGATAACAAAATTTATATGTAAACCGGGTACCATAGAATACAGATTAATAAAAAAAACTGCGTTGGATTGTTCCAACCTAGGGTAGTAGCTACTTGCTGGAGGCTCTTTCATCCCACTCTGCTCTCTTCACCTATCAACATGCGCTTTGTTAGAACCTGAGCACTGTAGGCCAACTGATTGGCAGTTGGTCATCCCTCTCCCCGTCTGAGCTCTGCTGGGTTCTTCACCATGCCAAATTCTGGTACTTACCCTGCTTTCATTTACAAGAATACATTTAATAAGGTATTAATGCTTACAGATCTGCCGTAGCTTGTGCATTTTATGTCTGGCTGGACTTCAACTTTAATTTATGCTAAAATGTAATTGGTGAATATGTATACAGATATGCAGAATATTTCATGTTGGGAGCGGCTGTACCTTTAGGGCTCATGTACACTGCAGCTGATAAACTCACGTTTAGGAGCTGTTCTGCGTTTTTTTCAGCAGCCCCTGAACTCTCCCTAATGTTTTCCTATGTGTCCATGTACACATCGTCGTTTACAGGCAGTTGAATTTACAGTTGTTTTTTTTAACGCACCAAACTTGCATTCAGGGATGCATCCGTGGCTCAGGGAGCATGCAGCACGGCGATCGGCGTGTCCCTCGGACACAGCGGATCACTGATCTACGGATAGAGCCGAAGATGTCGGCTCAGTCATGTGATCAGCTGTGTCCAATCGTTTATCGGCATTTCTCTCCTCACGAGCTGTCACGCTGACAGAGGAGAGCCGGTAATCGGCATTCCGCGGAGGGGACATGTACACTGATCATCAGAGCACTGATGATCAGTGTGGCCCCGGAAGTGCCACCTGTCAGTGTCCATCAGTGCCAGCTGTCAGTGC